CAGGGGGAGGGGTTGGGAGTTGGCCCAAGAGGGTGAGTTCCTGCACCTATTCTCTTACAAATAAAAAACAAAAGTCCCGATTACCAGTCTTAATAATTGTCATAATTGTCTTCATATTGATACTAATCTACCTCACATTCCTGATCATGTTTCTGCTGTAGTTTGCATATTTGAATTTCTTCTTGCCCTGCCTTTATTGGTTAAGCTTTTGAATTCCAGCTGTTAAGAAACAGAGCAAGAGAACTGACCCATAGAAACCAGTCCATTATATGTTTCTCCTTGTACTACTCTGCTAGACTGTTAAAACTAAAGTCTGATTGGTTGCTTTGGCTTGTACTTTACTGCTGTTGAACTATGTCTTTAAAGTAACTATAATAATAAACACTACAACTCACCACCTCTTAGGCAAGCCATTGGTTATGCAAGTTTCTATCCTTCACCATGGGTGGAAGGAAAGAAAATCGCTTGGTTCCCCCATGAACACAGTCCCTCCTACAGTGCTACTGTATTCAGCTGATGGGGAATCTTCCCAGCCGACAGAACACAATGACTACTGCTAGTGGCTATAGCCTCTGACAGTAATTGTATGTAAAAATCTGACAGGCTTGTTATATCCAAGTCAATTGATGTATCGACTTGCATACAACCAGCCTGCCCATTGATGATCGAATCTCGGCCAGTCCCTGCTGGACTGGCCAACATTCGATCCATCCATGGCTAGCTTTGCTCTTCTGAACAAATACATAAATGAACTGACAGACCTTAGATGGTAGTATGGTTTTCTAATTGCTGCATATTGGTTATTAACAGATATCCAAATGCACTTATTCAGTAAAGCAGAACAAAGAGTGATTAGAGAGTGTTGCAGCCAGGGGTGGACTGACAACTCATGGGGCCTCCGGGCAATAGGGGATCATGGGGCCCCTGTGTCCTTGCCCAAACTCAAAAAAGCCTATGAAAAAGGAACCACGGGCATCTCATGGGGCCCCCTTCTGACCCCGGGTCCTCGGGTAGTGCCCGAGTTTCCAAATGGTCAGTCCGCCCCTGGTTGCAGCCATACTATCCAATTACTGTAAGGAGGAAAGTTTATATATGCTTTGTAATTGGTTACCATTGGTTACTGAATTTGTATTATCTTCAATTTAATTTGCAATTTGAATTGAATTGAACAAATCTGTATTGCTATATGAAGCCCAACTCCAAGGTCAATTTGATTTGATTTTTCAGTAGTCTCCGAGAAGCAATAGAAAACATAAAAGCAGCTCTGGCTGTAATACTCACCCCCTCTCCTGAGCTGTCCCTGTAGTAATTATTTTCCACCACTAGATGTCCTCAGAGTTCTGGGTTTAATGACCCACAATCAACCCAGAAGACTGAAGACATCCAGATAGTTCAGGGTGTCATGGACCCTGCATTCTACACTCACAGTGTAATGATGGAGAGAGAGGTGTTGCCGTCACAATGTCAGTGTTGCTCTCTGCCTAATCGAGAACCCCCAGTGGCAGAGAAAAGGCAAATAGCAAGAGGACCCAGCATCTCTTGTGACCAAACTGAAGACATCTGAAAAAGATAAGTATATAAAAAGATATTAAATACACTTGGGAAGCAGAAGGGTGACTGGGGGCTGGGGGAATTTGCCTAAAATATATTACTTTGAGCAGTGAAAGTCTTTGCTAGTGGTTCAGCTATTAAACATATTGTAATAAGTATGTCACAGCCATTGTATTAAAACAAATTACCTTCTTAAAATATTGAAAGAGTAATATTATTTACAAGAGATTATCTCAAGTCAGATCTGTGTATGATCCCGTAATAGGGAATTATGGGAAACGTTGCTGGGGGCTTCAGGAGTATTACAGAATAATTGCAACTTATTGAGGGGGTCTTACAAAACATAAGGCTTAAAGGAAACTGTTTTAGATTGTGTGTACAACATATAAAGGACCCATGGTGTTCAGAACTACATTGTTTGACACTCAAATAATCACATAATAATATAAGCATGTCTTGCTGTCATATTTTAAGGCTTTTGTAGATGCAGTTAGCTGAGATCTTTCATCTGTCTCTACAAATAGCCCAATTATTTGACACTGGACCAAGGCAGTCACCACATAAAAAAAAGAAATTGGATATCTTTGTGAAATACTGCTGCATTTCACACTGCAGTGATTTCTTTAGTATGTAAAAAAAAAAAAAAATCTGTGAAACGCGTAGTCAAATGGAAATAACATGACTAGTGCCTGAATCTCTTCAATCTCCTGGCTTCAATTTTTTCTTGTGACAATTTACGGCTTCTTTTAATGCTTTGGCAGTCTGCAGTACTAAGCATCTAGTCCCTTCCCTGCTGGGGCACATCCGAAAAGAACTCCATCAAATAATTATCTTTCCTTTTTATTTATTCTCTGTCTTTTCACTTGATCTGCATCACCATAAAAAAAATATTCCAGTCACTTCCTCTTAACGCACAGCCTACTGTGATAGTAAAGTGTATTTATACACAGCATTTAATCCTCTCTGTGCCTTTCAATCAGGATGATTCGTTCATCGAAAAAAAAGGCTTTGATTCTGTGTCCTCCTTGAAGCATGTTATGCTTGTAAATGCGTCTCTCTGTTAGAGTATTATTAGAGTTATTTGTACCTAAGGAATATTAAACACTTTTAAATACAAATCGTTTGCAGGAATGGAGCTTTCAGATAATGGTACCGCATATCTATATGGAGCTACTTTATTATCTATCTATCTATCTATCTATCTATCTATCTATCTATCTATCTATCTATCTATCTGTCTGTCTGTCTGTCTGTCTGTCTGTCTGTCTGTCTGTCTGTCTGTCTGTCTGTCTGTCTGTCTATCTATCTATCTATCTATCTATCTATCTATCTATCTCTCCATTCATCCATTCATGCCTGTCTGCCTGTCTATCTTCTATCTAATCTTCTATCTATTTATCTATCTATATATCTTTCTGCCTATCTCTCCATTCATCCATCTGCCTGTCTATCTTCTATCTAATCTTCTATCTATCTATCTATCTATCTATCTATCTATCTATCTATCTATCTATCTATCTATCTCTTTCTGCCTATCTCTCCATTCATCTCATCTGCCTGTCATTCATCTATCTATCTATCTATCTATCTATCTATCTATCTATCTATCTATCTATCTATCTATCTAGCACTAAATTGTACAGTGCTTGTGTTGCAAGGTCACTTAAAGGATAAGTTCACCATTTGAACAAAAATAATAAATGCACATATTTTTGCAGGTAAAAAATGTATTATTTTTGTCCAAAGGAGCCTGGAAAGCATTGCATTAGCAATCAGTAGATCGCTGATGCCATGCAGGTCTCCTGCATACCTGTCAGAATATCTTCTTGCTGTACGGGATGTATGGTCAAGCAGATATTCTGACAGGAAGCTTCAATGAACTACCACAGTGTTTCCAAAGCGCCATGATAGTTCATAGTAAACTACAAGATCCACAGCTGCTAAGGCTGTTGGGACTTGCAGTTCATTCATTCATGGAAGTCCATGAATGAATGACGCGTTTGTGTGGGTGGAGCACCACACGGCTGTGCTGTTTTCAAATCTGACTGTGCGGTGAACTGTACTATCTGTCAGAGGGAGGAGGGATGGCAGGTATGGCTGCAGCTATAGGAACATGTTATATGTTCCACCCTAAAACTGGGTGGAACATGTAACATGTTCCAAAGGTGAACTTATTCTTTAATAAACTGTTGACATTTCAATCCAAGAAGATATGTTTAATGGTGCAATGAAGGAACAAACAATAATAAAATATATGCAGTAGAACAGCTCCAAACCTTGCTTGGGGTGATTATTGGGATGGTTTACTGATGGGCATTCTGGCTATGAGAGGTCCTGGGTATGGACTGGAGGTGGGAAGAACCGTGTAAATCCAAAGAAGAATGTAAGAAACATTCTTCCTACTGTTCATCACATAAATGTATTATAAGATGTAGATATAGTAAATTTCAGCAGGGGTTCCCTGAGACTGGAAAGTTATTTAAAGGGTTCCTCTGTGTTGAAAAGGTTTAGAAAGGCTGGCCTATAGGCATATAGACTAGACGTTAGTCATAAAGACTGAGGTGGAGACTTCCAGTGAATGGGAGAGGTTCTGGAGAAGTCCTAGTGGTGAGCACAGGAAGTGATGAGTGAGCTAGAGAGCAGGAGGTCTTGGGAAGAGCAAAGAGGGCAGTTTGGTTTGAGAGGGAGTTGGTGATGTAGCTGGGGCAAAGTTGTGAATGGCTTTGTAAGTTGTCCTGTTTTAAATTTTATCAGAAAATCAACTTCCAAAGGCCTAACTTATGCTTTCCTATAGTGGCAAATCAATTTCTTTCTTTTCATATTTCCAGTAACATGTAGGAGAATGTAGTAATGATAAAATAAAAAATGAAAACATTTTAACTAAACCATACAAACTATACAAAAAACTTAAATTGACCCCAAACCATTATAGTTTCAGTTTAATATTACTGGACTAATTACATAAAATCATATTTCCAATGATGTATGGGAGAAAGTACCTCCTCAAACCCCAGATGAATGCTCCTCTTCACCCAACTGTAGTGAGGGTATTCCCTCAGATGAATGCTCCTCTTCACCCAACTGTAGTGAGGGTATTCCCTGGGCAAGGGGGCCCAGAAGCTGCCAATATAGAACAGCCATCCCAGATGAAGCGCTAGTTGGGTTTCCCACCTGACCGCCCTTTCAGCTTATGCCGCCCAGGGGGTAGAAGAGTACTAACACTGACTGTCCTGCCAGCTTGGTGTGTTGGTGGCTGCCTTTAGGCCTTTCACTGGGCTGGCTCCTTCCCTGCTGCTCAGGACGTCTTCCCTGGGAGATGCTAGCACAGTGGAGATCCTCTTCTCCAGCACCTGCTTGTAGGTGAGCCCCTTCTCTGGGCCCCCTCCCAGGCTCCACACTCCAGATCCTCACTCCATCTTCCACCATATTTGAGGGTTGTCCTGATCACCATGCCCAGCCTCCTGCCGGGGATTGACCAGGGTCCCTCAAACATGCAGATCCGAGCTTCCTTTCCTCCATTCCATCCCTCCTCCAGAAAGCTCCCAAGTTTCTGGAGAAGTAGGAGGGCTCCAGAAGATCTGACCTTCAGAACCTCCCTAGCCTATACCAAGGTAACCACTGCCTCACTCACAGACTCACTCATCCCCAGGCTACCACTCAGCCTCTAACTAACAAAAAAAACTAACTAACCTGGAGGGCATTACATTTATTTGAAAGTAGCCATGTGACCACTTCTAAGTCCTTCCGCGGTATCTACCTCAGACAAGGGTGCGCACTGCCTCCAGGATTTATCACTTCCCAAACAAACGTGTGTAGTGCAAATGTGAAGCCACAGCTCTGAGCTTAAAAACAACTTTATTGATCCTGCCAGGCATAGGTGGAGTGTCTTTATTATTACAGAATCAATAAAGTTGTTTTCAAGCAATTCAAATCAGTGACCTTCATGTTTCTACTATGCAATGTTTACTTGTAACTTTTAAACTAGTAAAACAAATTAAAAAACATAAAAGTAATTAAAAAACATATAAGCTATATAACATAAAACTGTATAAAAAATAAAACTGATCCCAAATCATTCTAGTTACCATTTAAGATGACTAGATATTTTCCATAGAAGTGCCTAAAAGATATCTTTATACTTTCCTATAGTAGCATATTGAATTCTCCTTTACATGTTTCAAGTGATGCCTGGATGAACAGTTGAGTGAATCTGTTTGGATGCTACAGGTGAAATTAATTTTCACTACTTCCAGACCATTACCGCACAAGATCCATGATGAATACAAATGTCCTGTTCTTGTGTCCTAGGTTGACATCACCAAGGTGCAAATACAGGTAATAATAATTCTACTCAACAAATATAAGGATTGCTTTAAAGGGTATTTTACATTCAAAATTGTCATTTGCCTTATAGATTTACATGCAAATACTATATATGACTTTTTGGTGCCACTGGGCTACTGTAAGAAAAGTCCAGTACGCATCAGAACAAGAAGACTTTTGCATTATTAGTATGCATATGCAAATGTATTGATGTCCACACTAAGCAGCCCGTGCATAGGCACATGTGCACACTATATAAGCTGGATTGTGACATGAACAGATTGCTAAGTGGTCTTCAACTAGTTACTGATTTACATGTGTCCTGACCTGCCATATTTGCCTTCCCATGCATGACCCAGCTTGCCTCAGACCAGTCTTTGGCTTTCCTGCCTACTTGTTGTGACCTCAGATTTTACCCTGACTCAGCTTCTGCTTTATGTTCCTGTACCTCGCTGCCCTGCTATGAACTGACCCTGGTTTGTATCTAGACTCTGCCTCTGCCTGATCTTTCTGTAGCTTGCTGCCCAGATGTTGATGGCCTTTTGACTTGTGTTGTGGCTTCGCTCCTGTCTGCTAATCAAGTGTCTCCATGTTCCAACCTGGTCCTTGTCAGGTGTTCCACAGTCATCCATAACCCGCATCCAACAGCTGGCGCTGCCAGATACATTGGCCCGCTTGCCACTTTGTGTGCTCACACTTCCTGTCATCACTACCAGTGGTGTTGGGCAAGAGGTCTAAGAAAAGACCCTTCTCCAGCTCAATCTCCACTAGGTACGTGACAGCTACATTATTTTGTGGTTTTAGTCTTCCTGTAAGTGTCAAATGCATTTATTAACTATGGTTGTGGAAAAATAAAAAATATATTGAGAATTTATAGTTATATTATATTTTATGACCTAGATTTCCTCATTCTCCTGAGAAAGCAGATAGCGAAATGTGCTGAGAATACAGTGTTTATGGACTCCGTTAGAGACCTACAGTATGTATGTATATTTTGTGTTTTGTGTATTTAGGTAGAGTTTTCAGGCATATAGAAGTGGTGGCTGAAAGGAAAGATGAAATATAGTCCTGCATTTTAGGACCATTGACAAATTAAAGTTGTTGCATGTTGATTGCAAGAAATTGCCTTTTTAATTGTTTCTAAATATTTGTTTAAATAGGCAATAAAGTGCAATTATATGATTTTATTATATGGTCTTAGACTCATATTTGACACCTTCCAGTGGAACGCTGGGATAAAACCTAGCAAATCTGCAAACTGTTCCCACCCCCTTCTAACACCTATACTAACTGCACTGTAGAAGAAAGATGCATATACTTACCTATTCTCAGGCTGCTCCAGTCCGATCACGTGATCTCTCCTGTGTCAGCCGGTGCCAGCTACAGGGAGAGCAGAGAACGCTCTGACAATGGTTGGAATACCTGAGTGGTGATATCACCCATTTGCTTACTATGGACCATCTGTTGTTGGTGCTCCCTCCTCCTCCTGAAGCCACTGCTAGCTGACAGAGGGAAGCTGATCACATGACCAGACCAAAGTGGCCTGAAAATTGGTAAGTATATGCATCTTTCTTCTACAGAATAGTTAATATAAGTGTTAGAAAGGGAGTGGGAACAATTTAAAAATTAGATAGCTCTATTCTGGAATTCCACTAAACCCCAGACCCTGCATCCACTATATCTGGTCTCCCCGGACCCTGCATTCACTATATCTGGTCTCCCCGGAGCCTGCATTCACTATATCTGGTCTCCCCGGACCCTGCATTCACTACATCTGGTCTTCCCGGAGCCTGCATTCACTATATCTGGTCTCCCCGGACCCAGCATTCACTATATCTGATCTCCCCGGAGCCTGCATTCACTATATCTGGTCTCCTCAGACCCTGAATTCACTATATCTGGTCTCCCCGGACCCTGCATTCACTATATCTGGTCTCCCCCCGGACCCTGCATTCACTATATCTGGTCTCCCCTGACCCTGCACTATATCTGGTCTCCCCGGACCCTGCATTCACTATATCTGGTCTCCCCCTGACCCTGCATTCACTATATCTGGTCTCCCCAGACCCTGCATTCACTATATCTGGTCTCCCCAGACCCTGCATTCACAATATCTGGTCTCCCCGGACCTTGCATTCACTATATCTGGTCTCCCAGGACCCTGCATTCACTATATCTGGTCTCCCACAGTACACAGAACATGGAAATGCAATTATTTTAGTAAATATAAACTGCTTAATACCTTTTCTCATCAGAAGTTAGAGCAGTCTTGTGCCTTCTATTAGTGTTCAGTCAAGCACCAGCTAATGTTTGTAGGAGGAGTTTTCTTTCTGCTCTAGGAGGATGCAGAACCCCTGACATGTGTCTGGACAGTGCTGATTGGCCCTGTGCTGAGAACATGCACTCTCCCAAGAAGAAAAAAACCTCTCTAGCAATACACACCAAATTGAGCATATGCAGCATGCCTACGGTTCAGTCTGTCTTATCAGGAGATAAGAGGTGGTCGCTTAACTACTTGCCCACCAGAGGATTTCCCCAACTTCCTGACCAGGCCTTTGTTTGCGATACGGCGATGCATTACTTTATCTGACAATTGCGCTGTCATGCAACGCTGCACCCAAATGAAATTTATATCCTTCCACAAATAGAGCTTTGTTTTGATGGTATTTGATCACCTCTGCATTTTTTTTTTTTTAAACTATATTTTTTTACTTTTTGCTATAAAACATACCCAGTTAAAAAATTTTAAAAATCAAATTTCATCATAACTTTAGGCCAAAATGTATTCTACTACATGTCTTTGCTAAAAAAAATCCCAATACATGTAAATGAATTGGCCTACGTGAAAGTTATAGCGTCTACAAATGGCTGTATATATACTGGAATTTTTTTTTTATACTAGTAATGGTGGCGATCAGCGACTTATAGCGGGACTGTGGCGGGCATTTTGACACTGGAGAAGAACTGACTAACTGCCACTGACATCCCAATGACAGTAGTACAGTGATCAGTGCTAAAAAAGCACTGACGCTGTACTACTGACACTGGGTAGGAAGGGGTTACACAATGAGAGGAACAGAGAAATCAGGATCAAATAGCCTTTTTACACAATGCAGAGGATTAACCCGCTAGATTCCACAGTGAGTACAACAAGCTTTACTGCATATACAGACTGATTTTACTGTTGTGGGTTTAGTAACACTTTAAGTGGTTGTAAATCCTTTCATATACACAGTAAAGTGACTGGCCACAGATGATACACAGAGATGAAACAAATCCTCCCACATAAGTTGTACTTGGTTATCTGCAACCATCTGTCTTGCACATCCATTCCAAGTGCATCATTTACACAGAATCTTTCAGCTCTGAAAAGCAGGGGGTGGGAAACTGAAGTTACATCAGTGAGTTGAGCTCTGAGAGCTGATTGGAGGAAGAGGACACACCCCACTCCACACAGCGCACAAGAGCAGAGCTGAGGCTGTCAATCTACTAGAGATCCCTGTCCGTCACCATTTTTCTCTTGGTGTCAGGAAAACTCATCAGAAGTGACTCATGCTGAGAGCAGAGGAATGGGGCAGCAGACAGAAACGGCACTTAAGTGCTCTGGATTGAGACACTATACAAGGATAGACTTTGTTCATGTTTCATGTCTCAGGTTTACAACCACTTTAAGGGATGAAATATATATATACAATTTTTTAGGGATGTGGTTCCTTTGGTCCTCCATATGCCACAAAGTTCTTTTTACTATATATACAGTTGTGTTCAAAATAATAGCAGTGTGTTGAAAAAAGCTCAAAATCCTTCTAATAGCTTTTATTTCTATACACACAAATGCATTGGGAACACTACTCATTCTATTCCAAATCAAAACATGGAGAAAAATATATCAAATTTGTGTTGTCCCTCTAAAAAAATTGAAGAAAAGTGAATGTTAGACCGTTCAAAAAAATAGCAGTGTTTGTATTCTTCTTTACAAACTCAAACATTCACTATATAAACTGAAAAATGTTTGAAGATTTTGCTTTCCTTTGAATCACTTACTGAATATTTGGTTGTAGTCGCACTGTTTCTGAGAACTGCTGTACATCTGTGTTGCATGGAGTCACCCAACTTCTGGCACCTGTGATCAGGTATTCCAGCCCAGGATGATTGGACGACATTCCACAGTTCTTCTATATTTCTTGGTTTTGCCTCAGAAACTGCATTTTTGATGTCACCCCACAAGTTTTCTATTGGATTAAGATTCGGGGATTGGGCTGGCCACTCCATAACGTCAATCTTGTTGGTCTGGAACCAAGATGTTGCACGTTTACTGGTGTGTTTGGGGTCGTTGTCTTGTTGGAACTCCCATTTCAAGGGCATTTCCTCTTCAGCATAAGGCAGCATGACCTCTTCAAGTATTCTGATGTATTCTAACTGATCCATGATCCCTGGTATGTGATAAATAGGCCCAACACCGTAGTATGAGAAACATCCCCATATCATGATGCTTGCACCACCATGCTTCACTGTCTTCACAGTGTACTGTGGCTTGAATTCAGTGTTTGGGGGTCGTCTGACAAACAGTCTCCGCCCACTAGACCCAAAAAGAACAATCTTACTTTCATCAGTCCACAAAATGTTGCGCCATTTCTCTTTAGGCCAGTCAATGTGCTCTTTGGCAAATTGTAACCTCTTCAGCACACGTCTTTTTTTCAACAGTGGGACTTTGCAGGGGCTTCTTGCAGATATCTTGGCTTCACATAGGCGTCTTCTAATTGTAACAGTACTCACAGGGAACTTTAGACTTTCTTTGATCTTCCTGGAGCTGATTGTTGGCTGAGTCCTTGCCATTTTGGCTATTCTTCTATCCATTCCAATGGTAGTTTTTCGCTTTCTTCCACGTCTTTCAGGTTTTGGTTGCCATTTTAAAGCATTTGCGATCATTTTTGCTGAGCAGCCTATCATTTTCTGCACTTCTTTATATGTTTGCCCCTCTCCAATCAACTTTTTAATCAAGGTACGCTGTTCTTCTGAACAATGTCTGGAACGACCCATTTTCCTCAGAATTTCAGAGAGAAATGCACTGTAAACAGCATGTACAACATTTGCTGCCTTCCTTCCTTAAATAAGGGCAATAATTGCCACCTGTTTTTCAAAGAATGAATGACCTCACTAATAGAACTCCACACTGCTATTATTTTGAACATGCCCCTTTCAATTAGTGATTCAATTACACAGAATCAGCAGCATGCATGTCATTACTGTTGGGTCTGTTGGATTTCTATTACTCTACTACACCTGCTAGTAAATTATTTTCCATGTAGAATATAATTTCTACCAAAAACAGTGATTGATCAGGTTAGTGATGTCTGACTGCTATTATTTTGAACACAACTGTATATTCAGTTTCGCCAGGGGGAAAATATGCAAGGAATGAGAATATAACCTAAATGCTATATTTCGATATCTAATATATATAGTATTACTGTTTATATAGACAGAAAGATATAAAAAAAGAGATAAGACAAAGAAAAAATAAAAACAAAAAAGAAAGCATATACATACATAGGCGCGTACACGTCTCACTCTTTGACTGCCAGGAAAGGAGGCAGTATGTTGCCAACATCACACGACATGAAATCTTTGCCAGTCGAGACCTACTGCGTCTGTCCTCTTAATGACATTCAGGTGTTCTTCCTCAATGGCTACACGCAGGCAATCTGCTTTAAATAACTTGCGCCCTTGCCTACTTGTTAAGTGCGCCCACCATACATTTGATGTTAAGCAAGTCAACAAATTACCATTCAGGATAACCAATTCAGCTCATGCAAACACAGAACTCAAATAGACCATGATGTCCTTACTGCAGGAAGTCTGGAACATTTTGGCACAGGCATCTTTATACATGTTTACTGAACAGCATTACATTTCCTAAAAGGGAACTTCTTATTTTAAGGAACGTGCACCATGGTCCCTTTTGGCACAGAAGAATGTCTTATTATTTGTCACAGCAAAATGGCATGTTGTGATCTCTCGCGTGTTAATTGGCATGCAGTCTGTTTTGATTAATATGCAGTCGTCAATATGTTACTAGAGAATCAGTTGCTCTCTGTAGGAACGAAGAGGTTAAGGTTTGTTGAAGATTTGTAGTGAAACTGCAAAGAAACAGCCCCTAGAATTAATCTCCCAGGAAATTTCTAAAAAAAATCCAAAGGCCCATATTTCAGCTCAGCATTTAATAATTGCCTTGAGTTTTAAAAGTAAGGTAGTGTTTCTATGTAGTTATTTACTCGGCAGTAGAAAATATTCCCCTGAGATGTAGGGAGGATAATGTAACTGATTATTCACACCTGCCCAAAGAAAGCAAGCAAACTGTTTTCGTTTTTTTGGTCAAAGCCTATGGGTAAAATTTAACCTTTCTTGGATCTATAGGCAGAAATTGCAGTATACTTATCTTATCAGTGGGAGATCTTTTTGGTTTTCTTTTCTATATGGATCAGTTGAATTTAGAATTTGAAACTCACTGATGTCATTACAAGTTGCTAAAGGACACATTGGTTGCCTTCTCATGAACATTGGTTCAGGATGAAAGCTTAAGACTTGTACATTTTTGATTGACGAGCTTCAAAGGGCAACATTGCTTTATTTAACTGGATATTAATAAGTGATGGGGAAAAGGCAAGTGACTAGGGGGTAATGGCCCCCAACCCCTGGGTCACCCTACAGTACAGAAGGTAGTTCGGCTGTCAAATGAGTAATATCTATTTCCCACACTTGGCCAAGATTTCTTAAACTAACTAGCATTTTTCAGGGAGGGGAACCCCCCCCCCCCCCCGGCAAGAGTGATACACATGTGGCAGTGGCACACAGGAGCTATTATGTTTGCAAGCTTGCAGCAGTCTCCGCTACATGGGATCCAATCTGCAAGAGGCTGCTGGAGGTGGAGATTGTCCGGTGTCCTACTTTCACTCCTGGGCCTGATCACTGGCAGATGTATGGTCAGGTCTCCCCAGCCTTCATAATGGACAATATAAACTCACTTGCAGGTTTATTTAATGATATCTCTGCCTACAACCTCTCCATGGAATAAGCAACGTAACAGCACACAACCTTAATATGAATCCCTGGGGTTGCATGAGGGAATCATTGAACTGTGAAAATTAAAATACCTGTGAAATTTAACAACAGACAATTTCTTTAAAATTTCTCAACTGTAGCCCTCTTGAGGCTTAAAAAAGCTCCTCTAAAAACTCAATTTTCATTTATGTCTTCCTGCCCAAATTCAGTTCTGTTCTTAGCAGTGTACAGCTAACAATTATTCTGTGGAGGCCTATTTAGAAGTTTCTTTAGGGTATGTTTGAGAACTTTGAAGT